AGTGGTCTTTTCTTTTTTCACTTTCTCCCATAAAGAAAGCTTTATCACGTGTGGCCTTAAACTTGCAGCAAATTGCAAAGAAATGGCTCAAAGGCTTCAGCACTTTCTGTGCCCTGGGAGCTGAGATGCATGTCAGTGGCTTTGCCAGCCTGGCCAGTTCTCTGCACACTGCCAGAGAAAAGAGGCCAGGAGGAAAGAGGAAAGAGACGAGATTGCCCAGGGGTGAGACCATGCCCTTCATCTTTTCTCTCTCCTAACCTACGCTGCCTGATTCTGTGTCCATACAGGTTCTCCTCACCTGGCACAACTGCTAGAAGCTGCTTAGAATTCATCTCAGTTTCCTCTTTCAGTCTAAGGAGTGTGGTCCTGCCTTTCGTAGAGCTCACTGAGAGGCACTGTCTGTCTTTGATCTCCACCTCCAGGTAACATTTGCTTTGTTTCGTATTTTGTGATGATTACACCAGATTCTTACTTATGCTTTTCTTTGTGTTCCGTCTATAAAACTTCTCATTAGAAATTGATGTTCCCATGTTAGGTTAGTGGAACCAGAAGAAAAGATGAGTTAAGGAAATTAGACAAATTCAGATATCAGTTCAAATTTGACTCTGCTGCTTGTTAGTTGGGTAGCCTTTGACAAGTCACTTAATTTCTCTGAACCATATCATTTTCTGTGCAATGGGAATTATAATACTTAATTTGTGGTGGTGTTTTGAGGCTTAGAAATAAGGGTCTTCAGTCACCTGGCACACAAAATGTGCTTATTGTATCTGATAAGTAAGATCAGTGAATGTGACACAAATAATTATTTCAATCATAGGGATCCGCAACACACACTCCTTAACAAGTATCGTAGGCTATTTTTAGACCATCTGAAGGTAGAAATCCTGGTGTTCAGGAGACTACCTGGTACAAAAGCAGAGGTATCTAAGGTATGGCAGGTATGGCATGTACTCTGCGTGCCACTGGAAGGGGGTGTGTGTGTCAATGAGCAGTTTCTGTTGACCATTACCGGTTGTGAGAGATCATTCAGCAATTTAAAACCAATTGCCATAGGCTCTATTTTCTGTAGATACAGAAGTGTTCCTCAAGCAAGAGGACTGAAAAACAGTGATGGGAAGTAGCTGCCTCTGTAACTGTCCTGGGAGCTGCCTTTGAAGGCTACTGGATAGAGCCTCAGTCAATGGATCAGAGCACAGAAGTTCAGTGCCGCTGTGTGATCCAACTACAACCTTTCTAAGCCACCTGCACTCTTTGAAGACTGAGGGATTGATTATCAAACCTACATGAGCAGAGAATTAGATTTAAAAAAAAGAAAAAGAGAGAGAGATAAAATTAAGAAAAATGACTTGGCCTAATTTTTCTTGGCATCCAGAAACAGTTATACTACAACCCTGCGTGTTGGATAAAAACTTTGTCATTAGTCTTCCTGGAGCATTCTATTCAAATGGTGGAAGAACGATTACGTTTTGCCAAATGCAAATCCTTCTCAATAATTGTACATTCTCTCTCCACTTCTGAAATTGCAAATAAAGAGACAGAGAGCCTGCAGGCCCTGAGGATCTCTCCATTCTTGCCAGTGTGCTTACTTTCCCCTCTTTTCCAGGGGAAATGCAAACCTTGACGCTCATGAGTTGTAGCTTGGAGGGTAATATACTTGAGATGATTTGCATGTTAATCATCCAGATGAAATCATGTTTTCAGGAAAATTATGGACTATTGATATTTTAAGCTGCATATTATTTTGCCCTAACACAACTGTAATTAGGATGACAATAATTCTCCTGTTTTTGTAATCACTTCTCCATTCTAATTAGTGTGATTTTTGTGTCAGTATCTCCACATGTAATAAAACTTAATGTATTTAGTGTTTTAATATTGTTTGCTTCCTCTTTAGTGTTAACATTCTAGATGTAACCTTTTGAAACTTTTAAAGATAAGTGAGAATATATTTTAGGATTAAGCAGTTTACTTGCATTTTGTGGTAATGATCTGATCATATTGTGACTGAAGAAATGATATGATACCTGAACCCCCAAAACCAGAAAGCTACATTTAATTATATAGTTTAATTCTTGGAAGACGATTGCATTTTAAACTGCAACTTTATTATAATTTGTTTTGTATTTTAAAATCATTCTATTATAGATATCTGGTAGCATAGTGGCTAAGACACTTGCCTGCTAACCAGACGGCTGGCGGTTCAAACCCACCAGCCACTCCTCGGAAGGAAGGTTGGGCAATCCTACT